TTTAAAACTGTATCTAGCAAAGAGTCTTTATGTTAGACAGGGCAGGTAATTGTTACAGTACAAAAATCATTCCTGAGCCTTGTCAGAGCGAGATACCAGGGTCATCTTATATCTTCAAATAAGAATTATTAATAAATTATTTTATAGAAGAAACTAGTAATTACCAGGGTACTTTGGCTAGCATCATGTTGGAGGCTGCTTGCTGTCTCTCCCTGCTCATCCGCTCTGCTATATTGGGCCTCTTGAGAATGGTTACTTGTAGGCAGGAATGACGCCACTACCCACAGATAAAGTTGCTCAACACTTCCCATGCTAGCATCTTGGAGTAAAACTGGCTATATGGAGTATCTGCAGGCCGAAGGTTTTTGGGTGAAAAAAAATCCAAAACAGATCTCAGAAAGGAGGCTAAGTACAGATATATATTTGTGTTCCTCATCTCCCTAGCATCTACAGAAGAAAGGGTAAAGGGAAAAGGAGGATTCGACAAGTTAGTAACAGAACTGGAATACGTGACAAATGAAGATTATACACTATTGTTAACATTTCTTAGAAAATGTCTTCTCTGACATTTGGTACAGTAAGGGATGGGGGTGAGCTGTTGCAGGAATGGCTTTTGCTACCTTGAAATGTGGTAGGTGTGGGGTGTAACCTGGTCAGTGAATTTCTTTCTGCATTGCACGCAAAAAAAAAAAAAATTCTCCATTGAAAAACTACACACGGTACGTTCTCTGCAGGAAAGCGCTGAGCCAAGCTGTCCTGTGGTGTGCTCTAAATGGTTGTTTAGTTGCTTCATTTTAGTTGCATTAGCTGTGCTGTATAGTTACATTAATGCTGAGCTGTGCCCAAGCAGCTGTGCCTGCCTCTCACTAGGGTGTCTGAGCTCATCCAACGCACTTTACTAATGTGCCTCCACGGACTTTGCGCTGGAGCTGGGTATATCCAACCATGTCAGAGCAAGCCAGGTCTGCTGTGGTGTTGAGGCTATAGCTGTTTTTCACATCTGTAGGCCTCTGAGGAAGAGCTGTGTATCTCGAAGAGATGCAGCAGAGTTGTGTTAACTTTGAAAAGAGAGCTTGTTACTTCCTTTTGTAGACTGTGTCCCTAAGTTAATGAATGTGGAGAGAAAATTATTCCTCTTGGTTTTGGTGGATGTTTGCTGCATGCCTCACCAGTAGGCCAGGAACACAAAACATAATGAAGGCATGAAAGCTCATTACAGCTCTCTGTACAGTGTAGCACTACTTACTGGTAATAAGGTAGGAGTGATTTCTGGCCTCAATTTGAACTAACAGCATTGCTTACTGACAGTGCCATCCTGCCTGTTGTCTGTTAGTCTCAACCACAGAGCAAATGGTTCCCTGACAAGGTTGCTACAAGGGCACGGGTTCAAATTGAAACTATGCCCTGTATTTCTTAGCAATGAACAACTTTTCAGTAAGATCTTACCAGTTCATTAGTGGCTACAAAATTGGCTATTAACATTTGTCACATAGTTCAGAGTATTTTTCTCCAAGTAAGAACGCTGTTATTGGGAGGACAGTTGTTCTGGGTGGAACTAATCACCGGAAAGGTTGATTAGTTGGGCACCTGGAAAAACTGTTCCTTCAAAGCAAAGAAGAATGGTGGATAGTGGAATTAGGATGTTGCATTTAAAGGCAGCACAAAATAGAAATCTTTCTAATATCAGTTTTTAAGTTCCAGATAACAGGGATTCTGCTAATATAATGATTTTTTTTCTTCTTTTTTCTCCCAAGTGTTTATTGGGCAGAGTTCTTACTTGTTTTCTCTCAAGTAACAGCGACTGCATGTGATTACCTACATGGCATGTACAAAACTCTGTGGACTTGTATACATGGTGAATACACATACCATGCACATGGTTTGAATTTCATTCCATCTTCGGATTACTTCTTTCTCTCACTGTCTCATCAAAGCAAACATCTCTTTGCTAAAATCTGGCATAAATAATCCCAGTTTAATTCTGTAGAGCATCCTAATTAAATAATTGGGCAACACAGTTGAGATTTGACTTCCCTGGTGATACCACCTTTTGCAGCATACTGCAAGCTAAAGGAGGATTACCAGGAAATGTTGGTAAGATGGTGTGAACAGGGTTACAGCTGAATGTTTCTGTAAAGGATAATAATCAATCCACATCTTAACACGTTGTTGGTGAAAGTAATTTGTATTATTCCACAGAAGTGAGCTCTGCTGCCTGGCCAACTCCATCTTTGTGTAATTCTGTGCTTGATTTAACCTGAACGGCTTTGTCAAACCCCATATTATGCATGACGTACGTTCATTTGGTCCCCTGCTACTCCCTCGTTGCATCTGTGTGCCAGGCACTGTCTGCTGCGTCTGATCCCTGTACATGACTCCATGCACCCAGCACTGTTGTTTGCATGCCCGCTTGTCTGCTGACCAGCTGTGCCTGGTGCAGGCAAACCCTCACTGGAGTGCAGCAGCTGGGGAGCGTGTGCTCTTTCGTAGGGCTCCAGGTGCCCAAGAGCTGTCCTACAGTGGATGCTCTCTAGTTGCAAGATAAGGCCAAAGCCCCATCCCATCCTGTGACCAAGTCAAGCATGCCAAGCCATTCAGCAAAGACGTGTCCCTGTTGCGTGGAGCATCTCTCTTTGGGGAGCGTGGCAGTTGACAGGGCTAACTACATTGGCCTTAGGTCTGGTTGAGTTTGGGCTTTGGATATGCTCCGCTGACACTATGACTCTCATCCCCACCCCCCCTTTCACCCCCCAAATTCTTTCACTTCCTTTGGTGGTAGTTTTATCATTATGATTGTTCACAGACACTAAATACTGCTGCTATCCTGCAGAGGTGTATGACAACTGAAGTTCACAGCTTCAGGTGGCACAATGGCGTGTAAGAGTTTGTAGCATGATGTTTCCAGTGGCTTTGCTCTCCTGTGTTGATTCTCACCCTGGATTTTCACCAGAGGTGCCTTGGTCCAGAGCCCACCTGCTGCTCTTGCATGAAGCTGCAGTGAAACAGAGCTGCTGGCTCTGTTTTGGTATGGCCTGAAATTCAGGCTCAGTACTTGTTCATTGAATGGTTGGTTATATGTGAAGTGAAATACATAAAATTTAATGTTAATTTATCAGCAGACTGGAATTGTCTGTGTGCGGTGGTGAGAGAAAATTTTCTCTTCAGTTACTGCATGTCTGCAGCCCTGGATAGGCATGTTTCTCAGCAAATAGTGTAGTTTGTTTGTGATAGTCGAAGGACAACTGGTCTTTGTAGAACTAGTTCTTGTGTTTATTAATGGCTGTATTTGAAAGGTGACTATTTGTCTTGACTTTGTTAACTCATGATTTACAAACCAACAACACTGATTTCCATTCCTTTCTGCAGGAGGACCTTCTGCAGGAGGATACCTTCTTTTAATGCTAAAGAGAACTAACAAATCCATAAAGTGGAATAATATAAACAGTATTAATTAATACTGTTTCTTGGCAACATATTGATTTCTAGGCTGAAGACCAAAAATTAGCAGTGGTTTGGTTTGGTTTGTCTTTTATCATAATTTAGGAGACCCGTTGTCAGTTTTCGTAAAGGAGAGAAAATATGCCACTGAACATCTGAAATGTGTTTTTTAAAAATTAGATTCTGATTAGTACATTCAGGATTTGCAATAATAAGCAGGTTTGCACTTCACTACTATCAACAAGTTGGGATCTTGCTTTTTTGTGTTTCTTAGACATGAATGGAAAATGTGCAGTGTTTTTTAGTGCCATAATCCTGCTGGGAGCAACTACTTGTCTGTCAGCCTAATGCTCCCACTGGCTATTGGTCTGAAAACTGTAGCTGATCTGTCGTAGTCCTTTAACAATTCATCCATTCCAAGACTGTTAAAAAGCGCTTATTTTTTTCAAACTCACGATAGACAGTATGCGTGCTTATATTTTTCCTCAAGAAACCAAATAAATTTCAATCCAGAGAGAGGAACGTACAGAATCTGTATCAAATAAGTGGGGAAAGTTCCCATTTTCTGCTCAAGTATTTGCACTGGATTATAATGAAGCTTTGGTTAAGCAGATTAAATAGACAAAAGCAGTGAAACTTCAAAGGCTGACCAAATGTGCTGAGGTTTTATTTACCCAATCTGTAACGCCTGCTTTTGCCTTCCTCTCATTAAGCACAGAAAAATAAGCCAGTAAAGCCTAATGCGCTGTCCAGCTGTAGTGCCTATAGTGACTGATTTCTACCAGGGTTTTTAGTTGTGAGTATGTAAGGTTTTTTTCAATGTAGCAGTAGATAATAGACCTCCTATGAGAGCGGTTTTAAGAATGACTGCACAGCTGAGAGCTCAGCTGTATTGTAGAGCTCATTTTAGATACCAGGATGCAAAAGCTTTCTTCCAAACACAGATATTAAGTCTGTGACTTAATCCAGTGGTTAATTAACTGCTTTTACATGAAGCACACAAAATAGCAAAGGAAACTCTGTTCTTCAGTAAACTACGAGAAATAAGGTAAAGCAGTACTTGGTGACGGAGTAAGAATCCAAGTTGTTTTGATATTTCTAGCTTGCATTTTCCAGTATTCTTTACAGAACAGTTAAATGTGCAGCATCTGTTACCATTTATATTTCGAAGAGTGTTTCCATTTATATTTCGAAGAGTGTTTCCTGCACTGTGGGATTGATTTGGGCATTTGTGTCACTCAGTCAAGGAGTTTTCAGAGACCACACATAAATTTTTATTTGGGGAAAAAGGTGAATATGTTTAACATATATAAAATAATAATAAAACCTAAATCAATTATAACTAATTAAAAATTAAAATATATAATTTAAAAAACAGATAAATGACATAACCTCTGTAACAGTTTCCTGTTAAGTTCATTTTATAACATTAAAGATCATAAGCTAGTATGGTGTGTATAAGCACAAGTAACAACATTGGACATAGTTGTAGAGCAGCAGTGAATTTGGACACTGTGATTTTGGGTTAATTTTGAAAAACTAGTGTAATTCCAATCCAATAGACTGTTTTTGTCTCTCTGAACATTTTGAACGGCCTGAATACCTGTGAATTAGCTAAATCTGGTTCTGAACAGGTAAATGGCATTTGTTTGATATAACCACCCACCTCCGCATACCACAGCCTCATGGATCTCCCTGTCTTGAGTGTTTTCTTCTGTACTTTTCTAGACCTGCACCTCAATAACTAGACTCCGTTGCTATAAAACTAAAGCATTTTCTGAGCTCTATTTCTAATAATACTATTGCTAAAACTTGTCATCTTGTAAAAGCCTTGTCAGAAAGCATATAAAAAGAATCTTTTAAATATTTTTGGGAACAAAGGCTTTTTAGGTTCATTTGAAGAAAGGATGTATGGAGTTGGCACAGGAAAGCTGACCAAGTCACACAGCCTTTTAGATAGTAAATTTAATACTCTCTTCCTTCAAAATTTGCTACATAATCAAGCATTTTATGCTGAATGCCTGAAATATATGCCTTGTCATTCAGGAAGCAAGTAACATTGTAAGCTACATGAAGTTTCGTCTAATGAGTTCTTAACTCTTCCTCACTCTGTGGTGCTATGAGCTCCCAAATAACTCATTTTAAAATGAAACGAAGTGGTTCTGCCTTGGTAAACCAGTAAGTATATTAGAGTGGAGAGCAGAAGTGCAGGATCTCCCAAACCACTGACCGTCAAGGTGTTCTGGCCCAGAAGCACCTGAAAGAGGCAAACGTTTACATACCTGGACAGATTATGGACAGCTTTTTCGTGAAGTAGAAGCTTGGGTTTTAAAGTTATTTGCAATTATTTGCAATGAGGGAACTTCATGTACCCTCCTAGTATTTCAGACATGATGGAGGAAACGAAGAAGCCAGACAGGAACTAACAAGTCAACAAACAAAGGAACTTCAGAGGCAGCTCTTGCTCACACAAGAAAAAAAGATGAACTACCACACCCTCTATTCATCATGCTGTAGACTGTGCAGCACTTAGGGGGCTAGTCCAGCCTCGAAGCTATTACCAGACAGGCTGACAGAGCATTCATCCAAGAGAAATCTGCAGTTGACTTTCTTAAGTCAGGAAATCAGCAAGATTTTTAGATCTTTCTCTAGGAAAGGCCCTTTTTTTTTTTTTTTGTTGAAGGCACCTGAAAGTTCTCGTGTAATTTTTAGCTTTTGTCTCTGCAAAAGTTTAATTTCACTTCCACAGAGGAAACTAAAGCAAAACATATGACATTTGCTTGCTACTTGAAAAATGAATTAAGACACAATTTCCTAATTGAAATTCAGAAGAAGCAGCTTTCATCAGCAAGGCAAAGTTATTGGTGTCATCGAATCGTGAGTGTGTTTTAACATTTTTGATTTCTTTAAAATTAAAAGGCTGCTTTTTAGTTCACTTTTTTAAATTCACCACTAAATGTTGGTTTATTATTGCAATCATGATGATCCGTTGCCTTGCTGGTGGTTGCAGGGACAGAGAAAGCCTGGGGTCTGAAAGTAAGAAACTATGGGAAACTCTGGCCTGCAGCTATTTCTGAACTCACTCCCTTCAGTGTTCCCAAACTCAACTGGACTACACTTCTGCAACAGACTTTCTAACCACATTGAGCAGATCTATGATTTTTGTTCTAGCTTGCCTACACATCGTTGTTTTTAAAATGGCTGTGAGCTTGGTCTAATTTCTGGTTTGCAACGTATACACAGTATAATAGGCGAACACAATTTTGTTTTGTCTTCAAGGTTGTTTTCCTCCTCCTGTTTCACAGATACACCATGCCTGAAGAGTTTGTGCTTTTTCTGTCAAACATTCTGTTAATTTAAGGAATGCCTCCTCCTAAGACACATCTTGTTAAGAGGAAGATGCCTTAGGAATGACTGGAACTTGATTTACAACAGGAAAAAATTATTTCACACACATTCAAGGTTTGAATTTTATCCAAGTCATGGACAATTCACATCACCTACGTGCTTCACAAGTAGATGTATCTGGTGTTTAAAAGTGATTTAATGAATTCAGTGCTTGTTTTTAAAAACAGTAGCTGAAAATAGAAGGCAAATGTTACTGTATCTGCCACACAGAAATATTTCAGTAGGTTTCTTCTTAATTTTTCTTCCTTTTAAGGGTCAAAAGGCTTGGATAGAGAAGACCTTTTCAAAAAGAGAATGCATCTATGTAATTGCCAACAACAAAGACATTAGCAGGTAACATTTGAAATTTTTGTTTTGGCCAACAGAAAAGGTTAATGCTGAAGAAACTGGACTTGACTTGGATTTAGACATGTGAAACGGAGACCCAATTTACTCACTGCCCTTAAAGGGAGATGATGGGGGAATAAAAGTGCAAGACATGCTTGCACTCAAGTCTGTACAGAGACATGGGACATGTCATACAGAGATGATAAGGCTCTGTAGGAGAGGCAGCTGATGATAAGGGCAGCAGGAGAGGCAGTGACTTGTTAGTTCCTAGCTTTGCAAACCAGGGCATAAGTTCATACTAAATTCTGAAAGCAAAGATGCAATAATATGCACTGTGAAGCAAGTGGTACTGCTCTTCACAGCTGGTATGACACTACCAATAACAATGCTATACAGGGGGACTGGAATTCTTAGTCCAAATATTAATATTACTCCTACTGCATGGGCTGCCTAAATTGTGGTCCAGCTTGTTTGGATAACGTAACAGTTTGTCACATGCTAGCTATCACCTCTGAGTAAGAAACAGATGGTCACTGCTCCTGTTCTGCATTCTTCTTCCTTCCCTGTCCTTTAGCCTAGAACAGCTTTCCAGTGTATAACAGAAGTGAAGTGAATTTTTTTATCTTTGGTTGTTAAGAAACACCTGTGGGCTGGTAATTGTGGCATATGCGTGTATGCAAATACAGCAGATAAGACCTAGAAGAGGCGTTTCTATGATTCATGTAGCGCAAGGCATGGTCAGTTGAAAATATAATTTCTGATCTATTCCTTTTTTTTTTCTTTTTTAAATTGCTATCCAATATTGAAGATACTGTAATCAAAGTCACTTCAAATTTTAACTTACAGGTGCTGCTGTGGCCAGCTTATTAACCAACATATTCCACCTCCTCCAAGTATAACAGCTAATAAAAATGGAGAAGAAACAAAGCAAGTGGAAGCTCAGCCAGAGAAATGGTCCGTCAGTAAACACACCCAAACATACCCAACTGATGCCTATGGAAACCTTGAATTCCAGGGAGGAGGACATTCAAATAAGGCCATGGTAAGGAGCATAGGCTACGCTAAGGTATTCATCTGGTATGTTAGCTTAATAGATATGCGTCAGGATTCCAGCTCACTCAGTGCATAATCCATTGAAATCAAAGGAGGTCTCTTTGCTCTCTCAGAAAGGTGTGGACAAGATGCTGAAAAGGAGAGAGAGAGAAGGCAAGAGAAAAATAATACCTAATACTTAGGTAGCACCTTATAATGTCTTGATGAAACAGTTTCATTGAAATTACTGTCAGTAAATAACAGCTAAGGAGGCAGCTGCATGTATTAATGCCCAAGATTCCATCTGTTTGTATTAGATTTGTGGGCCAAATAACCCAGCACGGTAATTAATCTTGCCTTTCTGAAAGATGGAGGCCTGACAGAGCTGGAAAATGGACTGTTGAGTTTTCTTAGCAGCAGAAGTAACAGCAAGTCAGGCTGCTGTAAAAAATCTCTTTCTCTTTTACCTCTCTTCTGAACAAATCCAAACCTAGATTTCTTTCTTTGCCCATTTGCTTTCTTATCTCTCTGCTGAGACTGCCACTGGAAACAACCACACTGCAAAAACTCGTACAAAATGTATGGGAGAGGTTGGTGGTTTTTGTTCGTGGTGGTTTGTTTGTTTTTAAAGCAGAAATAAACATGAGTTTATTTCATAGTTTTCTTTGATAGAGTAGTAGTTTGAAAAGAAATCACAATGGTGGAACTAAACTGAGAAGAATGCAAATCATTGCTTTGGAGGCAGAAATATGTACATCAGCAGTGAATGGGATAAAATGTAACATAAGCCTCCTATTTCTTATGAAGATTGTTGCTTCTCTTTGGCAGTCAAACCAGAGGTTTTAGGAACATACAAAACACCTTCCAGTCATTTCACATAGGTAGCTCCCAACAATGCGGATTTGCAATAAGAGCTTAGGATCACTTGATTGCAGTCAGTTTTGCAGGTGAAGAGAGGAAAGTGGTGCTTTTAAAATGCATGAAGTGAATGGTAAATTGTCAATAGTAAAGTGAAAGGTTTCAACCTGTTTTTTCTAATCACAAGCAGAAGAGAAATTTAATAATGTGTTGCTTAAAAATTGTGAAACTCTTTCTTCAAGATGGAAGGCTTAATATAACCATTCTTTGCTCAGTCAATAGACAATTTACAGAGCAGATGGAGTGATAATATTATGCATTGCTCTTTGCAGTATATCCGTGTGTCATATGACACTAAACCAGATTCTCTGCTGCATCTCATGGTGAAAGACTGGCAACTGGAACTGCCCAAACTCTTAATCTCTGTCCATGGAGGCCTCCAGAACTTTGAAATGCAACCTAAATTAAAGCAAGTATTTGGAAAAGGTCTGATAAAGGCTGCCATGACCACAGGAGCTTGGATTTTCACTGGAGGTGTTAGTACAGGTAAGGAATTACCAGCACTTTTAGTTTACTTAAGAATTCAGTGATGTTCATTCACTAATCTTTCCCACAGGCAGAAGATTTAAGTCTACATGAATGAGTCATTAGCCACTAGACCAAAAAAGGAGCATTGTAATCATTTGTGTTAATCTCCTACCCAGCCCTGACCATAAGGTTTTCCTGGGTCAATATCGATTTGCATTACTCGGTGTTTCCCCTGAAAAAAAAATTTCAACCTTGGTTTCAGTAGCAAGGAATCTACCAGTAGTTATAATACTTTTTTTTTTGGTGGTTGGTTATCCTTGTAGTTAAGAAACCTCCTACTCCAAATTTGCCTAGCTTTAGCTTCTTCTGGTTTGTTTTTTTTTTTTTGTACAAAGATCTTTCTGTTACTAAAAGTATATTTCCTATACTAAAGGTATATTTTCATACACAGCACTTTTGTCAAACTGCACATGCTGAGTTCCATAAAATTCTCGCACTAAGCATGTTTTCCAGTCCTTCAGTCATTATCACACCTCTGCTTTGAACTCTTTCTAGTTTTTCAACAGCCTTCTTGAATTTTGGACACTGTGATTTTTGAGACAGTGCTGGATGAAGCTTTTAATCCCTGAAGTAAAGCAGCCTTTCTGCTTCCATTTGACACTTCCCTGTTCATGCAGCCAAGGACTGAGTTAGCCTTTAGTCTGTGTGATCTCTCTGAGAGTTAGTGATCAACTGATAATCCACCTTGAATGCCGTGTCCCTGAGTCACTGTCTGCATGGGATCACCCACCACCACATGTGCACACGCTCTGTCTTGAAATTATATAAGATATTTGTTCTTAAATGAATGACTATAAATTAGCACTCTTGAAACACAAACCTGAAGTCAGTTGTAAAAGTCTCTATTTGAAGACATTGCAATCTCCTGTTTGCATTTTCCTCCGATCTTCTGGCCACCTGAAACAGTTTTCTGTTTCTGTGTTTCCTTTTTGACCATATGAATCATCAGTTGTACAGCAACTCTACTTAACTCCACCAGGAGGTTTTTGGCGCTGTTCCTGGATTCTGTCAAATAAACAGTGTCTGATGTGATGTCCAAAATTTGAAAGACATGTTTGGTGATTCCCTATATATATTTTGAGACCAGTTGATTTCTAATTAATTTCATTTATGTTAATATCAATTCTGAGTGATCTTCAAAAAACAATCAGATGCAAACTTTCATTATAATATTTCTATAACAATATCTTTATTAAGCTGAAATAAATCTTGATATCAAGTTATTTCTCAGAAAACTATGTAAGATAAGAATTAATTCCTTTTAATTTCATTTTACAACAAAGGTCTAATGAGTTTAAGGGAAGATGATGATTGCTATTCAGAATAATTTTTAAGTGAAAACATGTTTCTTAGATAACTACAGGGTTGGAGCTTTTGCTTGTTCAGACCGCAGTGATAGCATTCCATATGTGTTTATCATTGTGTACAATGAATAATATAATTCCAGACAATGGTACACATTACACTGTGGCAAGTTAAGTAACTGGGTAAGTCTTTCAAAGACTTCATTGAATTCAGAACAAGGATGTGAAAAGGCAATAGGATTTACACACACCTATTACAAAATAAAAGCATGGATTTGTCTGCATTGTGTGTTCTATTATAGAGATACCAGGTTAGTAGTGAAAGCAATCCAGAAAAGCAGGTAGCTCCGTGAGAAGCAAAAAGAAAATTCTGTTGTTTAGTGATCTCTAAAAAGTGCCAAGAATGAATTAAATTAATTGTACCTATAGGTGTCATTCGTCATGTGGGAGATGCCCTGAAAGATCATTCTTCCAAATCCAGAGGACGAATATGTGCCATAGGAATTGCACCGTGGGGCATTGTAGAAAACAAGGAAGATCTGATAGGAAAAGATGTAAGTCTTTAAGGAGTAAGTCTTAACTCCTGTGTAATTAGCAATGTCAGCTGTGTAACAAAGTACACTGTTCATCTTTTTAGAGTATTAATATTTTTGCTGTTTCTTAAGCATGCCTAAGAGCTGAAATTGAACAATTTCTTGAAGAAAAGCTGTCGTTTAAATATATTTGTCAGGTTGTCTTATATGACCTCAAAGTAAATATGGAGCTAGTGAGGTTTCCATTGCTTTTGATAGTAGAGACCTCTCTATGGTGACAGTTTTAGGTCCTAACTTCAGTGTGGCGTACTGAGACTTCTAAATACCATATAAGAGCCTTTATGTGTACAAGACTGGCATTTATTGTAGATGGGTACTCTGCAGTGGCTTATTCATTACTAGGAACTCCAGAATATTTTCTAATGCAGTAAGAGGATTATGTGACGCAGTGTGTGATCAAGGAGGGTACATTAGTGAGCTTAGGGGAACAGGCAGGAGAGTGCACAGGTGTCACTGTCATCCTCCAAAGAAAACACTGCTGTGAAGAGTTCAAGTTTTGAATGTAAAAGCAAGCTCCATTTCTAATTTTCCTCTATTTTTGGTTATAAAGATCAGGTTGATTTGTTTTCTCATAAGGCATGTGGTTCTGTTGGGCAGTGTGGGGGATTTTCACATTTAGTTCTTAGTTCTAATCTAGGTGCATCTATCCTTTTGACACACAGGTAACACGGGTTTACCAAACAATGTCAAACCCTCTAAGTAAGCTCTCTGTGCTCAACAGTTCCCATACCCACTTCATTCTGGCAGACAATGGTACGCTAGGTAAATACGGAGCTGAAGTAAAGTTACGACGTCAGTTGGAAAAACACATTTCCCTCCAGAAAATTAACACACGTAAGTACAGTGGGGCAAACTGTAAACATAACATCTTAAAGGAAGGGAGGGAAGAAGGGCTTGAAATACTTCAAGGTATTGAAATTAAACGCTTCTTCGAGCTCTTTCTAGCAGGAATTTGATCAGGACTGTGTGACTAAACTAGAACATATGCTGTCTGATAAGTGGTGAAAGAGCCCACATCTAACAGCATGGAAAACCCAGAAAAGTAAGGATTTGTATTGGGTTTGCGTGGCATAAAGGGAGAAAGAAAAGCTGACAAATAATAGTGAGGAGAAGCTTCAAAGCAGTAAGCATTTAAAGGAAGGGAAATGTAAAGAATTTGTGCATCAGAATTCATAAGCATCAGTAAATACACAGAATGGGGTGATTTTGTACAGTTCCTGTTTACAGGAATCCTATGCAGCTCAGTGGTTTCTGATTCCAAATGTTCATACTAACATTTTATTTGCTCTTTAATGTGAATTTGTGCATCAGAATTCATAAGCATCAGTAAATACACAGAATGGGGTGATTTTGTACAGTTCCTGTTTACAGGAATCCTATGCAGCTCAGTGGTTTCTGATTCCAAATGTTCATACTAACATTTTATTTGCTCTTTTATGTGAATTTGTTTCGTCCAAAATATCACACTTAAAATTCTTTGATCTTCCAGATAAACTCAGCTGGGATTTTGATTTTTAGTGAAGCCATTATCCAGATAATTTCACATCAGTGCTTTTATATTTAGTTTAGTGCAGTTTTAAAATTTCTGCCAGTTGTTACAGCCTCTCTAAAACAACTTTCTAGAATTCTTTCTGTCATTATCTTAGAAAAAAATCTTGTAAAAGACAACTTTTCAATAACATTTTTGTAGAAAAAATTGATTTTTTAAAAAAGGAAATAAATAAAAAAAATTAGTAGCTGTGGTTTTCCAGCAACTTTAAAAAAAAAACAAAGAAACATGACAACAGCCTAATTAAAAATGGTTGCAAAAAAGTTAATAGTCTTTGAATCCACGCTTCAATTAAGAGCTACTGGAGAATAGACATCAGTTCTACCAGTTGCCTTTCTGACTTCTTACAGATGCCATTGTAAGCTGTGTAGGCCTGTATAAATAAGAAAAAACAAACATTCTGAATGACAATGGCATTAAACTCTACAAAAGTTTCTAACAGGGCTTAAGTGCTCTTATAGGTAGAGTAGAAAAATGAAGTAGAGTGCCAGGTAAAGCCGGAAGGCGCAGTTAGAGATCAGCCACAAGGTACCTAAACATTCTGGAAGGTCTTTAAGTACTGCTTTTTGCCTACGGTAAGCTTAAGAAACTGAACTCACCAAAATGATGCCCCTTGCCTTTCAGTGTGGAGACAGTGTCGTGCGCTGTTGCCCACAGACATTAGAAATAGCTAACGTTAGCTATGCTTTTTTCATGTTTGTCTTCTGCGGAAGTGCTGGGAGAGTTGTAACATTGTAAAAGGGAGCACTGGCTTGGAAGATAAGGAAGTCGGGGCCCAGAGGCAAGATGTTCTGTATCATTTCTTTTAGTACCACTGGGGCTGGGGATATTGGTTCTGATTTAAGTAGCATTTGGTGATTTTTGTCATGAGAAGGACAAAATTGGGAATGCACGTAGGAATTAAGAGTTCTGTGAAGGGCTGCAGTACACCTACTAGTAACAACATACAGGGAGTTGTTTTGTTTCTTTTTAATCACTTCAAGCACAGGCACCTCTTCTGGAAATCTCAGCAGGGAATCATTAAAGATTTCATGGACACACAGGCCGGCCCATGCTCTGTGACTCCTCCTTACCAGAGCTGGGGTATACTGACAGGAGGATGTCAGGAAGCTTCTGCTGTTATTGTGCATGGTGTTCCTGTTCTTCAGAGATGAATGAAGGTTGAAAATATGAACTCTTTCACGCGTTCTCAGCTGTACAAAAAAGTGCATCTTCTTTATAAAGCGCTGGTCAATTTACAGGTTAAGAACTGAATTCAAATGCTTATAATAGTGGGATTAGTCAGCCTCCAGGTAATGTTTTGTCCTTCATTTCCAAAAGTATCTTGTGACCAAGGCTACTGAGACCATGTGACCTGTGGGCTTCCCTTTGTCATCCTATGCCTGGAGATCACAGTGAGGCAGGGACAGCAAAGGGATGCTCAGCTGTCGTCTCTTCCATCGGCCAGCCATTTCAGCCTCATGATAAAGACACTAATTTCATATTTTCTATTTTAGGAGAAAGCATAGGTATATGTCACCTTACTGAAGACTTCCTGTAGGTAACCAATGAAGAATTAAAGCATCAAAGACACAGTAGCTGGGAGCCATCCAAGTAACAGTGAAACTAGTGAAGTAATAGGAGAATCATGTTAGCTGTTTTATCTGTACATGGTGTCTGTCAAAAGAGATTACAGTTCACCAACAGTGAGTGAATAAATGATCAGTATGGAGCTGATGCAAAAGCAAGGGCGGAGACACATCTTACTCTTTTCCTTTTGGGGCTGTGAAATGGCATATGAACGTTTTTCCTGGTGTTGGCCATGAAATGGCCATCATTTTTCCTAGCTGCTCTGGTTTGAAGTGATGCTGTAACACAGAAATTACATCCACTCATAATATCTCAACCTCTTAAACTAAGTTTCAATGACACTTCTATTTTTGCTTCTGTTCTGTTTTTTTGCAGGGCTGGGACAAGGTGTTCCTGTAGTTGGGCTCATAGTGGAAGGGGGTCCCAATGTGATCTCCATTGTTTTAGAGTGTCTACGAGAAGAACCCCCTCTCCCTGTCGTGATATGTGATGGTAGTGGACGAGCATCGGATATTCTGTCATTTGCGCACAAGTATTCAGAAGAAGGAGGGTAAGATTTTGAGATCGTCACCAAAGCTGTGTCTTGCTTGGGAGGACAATGTAGGACTATCTGCCTTGCTTTCATTAAAGCTTCATGAAAAAATACCTCAGGGACAGAATGCTACTAACAGAGGCATTCTGCTGTCAGCCAGCTTTTGCTGCCTGTTTGATCTTAGCCCTGGTGTTAATGAGTACGAATTGTTACCACTTGGAATGTATTTGATGGTCCATTGAAACAAGCTTGCTCTCAGTGCAGCACACTGTCATACAAGCTCCATCAAAATTTGCTGCACTATACTTGATGCTGGATTGGGCGTGTTAGAAGCAAGGAACAAGCGATTCCCAAGAATTACTTTTTCTCAGGCCAGGGCTGAGGTTAATTAGTGCATGTATTTGCAAAACTTGTACTGCCTGATTCTAGTATGTTGTGTGAATGAGCTTCATTCTCCAAGAATGCCAGACCAGCTGAAAAAATATTGGGCTTCCTTCCATTTTCCTGCTGTTTTTTGCATCTGTGATGGTTCTTCAGGGCAGTGCTTCCTGATGACATGAACAGAGTGGAGGATGTTGTCTGGAGCATTCTGCTCCACAGCCCTCCTGTCCATTGCCCAAATGAACCTGTAAAAGTCACTCCTAATCCAAAGTTTTCTGGAATCTCTTATTTTTATGGTTGATTGTCTGCCCCTTTGGTTGATAGAAAGTACGGTTAGTTTAAAGAAGATACAAAGCCTATGCTAGCAGCATAAAGCTCATCTGCTCTGCAGAGTAAAAGATCTGTCCTGACAAATACTCCAAGTGGAAGCAGAGTATTGCATTTTTAATTTAAAATATTGCTTCTCCCAGTCAAGTAACATGCATTCCCCATCGTTTTTGTTAATATCAGAATTTTATCTTTAGTAGCCAGATTCAGGCAAAAACCTAGTCTTGATTAGGGTATGACACACCCATATTGCACCGAAGAAATAGCCTGTTTCCTTGACTGAAGTTGGAGTTTAGCTTGGATTAAATATTAAGCAGACAACTAGTGAAGTCAAGCAGTGCAGATGTTATTTGCTGCATTCGGAGAGCAGCTCTGATGCTGGATTTTTTTGATGTTTACACATATTACATATTTAATCCTACCAACAGTACCAACGGTATTTATGATTCAGCAACTTTCTTTTCCTTTCCGTCGACCGAGGCTCCTTAACTTTCCTTCTTTTTTTTTCCTTTCTCATTCATCCTTCCTATCAGCTTACAGGTAATTGAAAGAGCTTATTAGGATCAGTCTGTCTGAGATGCACTCACTGCATGACTTTCTCTCCCAGTGCAGTGTCCCGTTTTTCTCTCCAATAATTATGATGAGATAAATGCATTCATCTGGTAAGGCAGGTCTGTAATGAGAATTTTTCACCAGCCCTGCTGTCTAAAAGAATAATTTTCTCACAATGAACTTTGAATTTTACTGCACTTCACAGGCTCAGCTGTCTCACTGCTTTGAATGTCTGCTGGTAATGTTGGCCATCATCTGAAAATACATGTGTTTTATTGAATGAAGATCGAAGGGCTCTGTTTCAGATTACTTTGAGAGATCAAACATTTCTGACCTTTCTAGAAAGTTTTTGATCTAATTTCTTTAGTCGCCTTTTGATTTGTTTCTCAGTTGAATATTATGAGGTTTCAGATATGCTAGCAATTTAAATCTTCTGTTTAAGAGGATAACCAAGATAACCAAGGTGAAACCAGTAGTGATAACCAGTAGTGTGAAATATTTTTGGGTTTTTAGCTATATGCAAAGGGCCTTGCAACATTTAGAGGCAAAGGTAGGGGGTCCTGTAAGGTGTACTGCTGAAATCTGAAGACTGAAATTCTTAACTAAAGTGTATCTATAATATATAACAGGAGTAAGAGCTACCTGCATTATATTCCAGGGTGAAAGATAGTTCAAGTTCCCTGCAAGTTTTTAAATCAATGCTGAGGTACTGAGATGCATAAAAGCCAGTCTGGGTATGAATTTCTTGATTACTGTTAACTCTTCATGAACTCCTTACCTGTACTGAATGCAAAGATGCTGTGTGTTTTCATTTATTTTCAAAATGAAGGATGAAAAATGGTTTCTCAAACAGCAAGCCTTCTGCATATATATTAATTCTGGCAATGTCTTCTTTTATGTCTCATTTTTCATTTAGGATAATAAGTGAATCCCTTAGGGACCAGCTTCTAGTTACCATCCAGAAAACCTTTAACTACAACAGGAATCAAGCTCATCAGCTGTTCGTCATTCTTATGGAGTGCATGAAAAAAAAAGAACTTGTAAGTGTCCTAAAAGTAGTTCACAAAGAGAATTTCTGTGACCAGACTTTATAGAGTACTTTCAAGTGCCACTCTCCCAGGGTTACAGTGTAAACTTTTTTTTTTTTTCCCCTCCATATAGCTCCATAAACATAGACAATCATTCATTCATAAGCATAGGCCAAGAAAGAGATTTTGTCTTCTGGAAAGCCTCTAAAACCAATTTCAGATTCTTCTCCTGTGCAAGTTGATAGGAGTCTTTTTTCACAAACTTCCACAAGGCAGACTAAGACACTGAGATAAATGCACTAAAACCAGGATCAACTGCAGAATGTAGAGGAAGGATAACTGAAGAAAGGGTTCCTAGGAGCTGTAAGCATTCAGAGTGCATCAGCACAGTTTTGGTCTTCTGATATAGTTACTTTTTCACAGACTTTCATTCCAGTAAAATGGGCTATTGAGGTCTTTCAAAAGAAATTGAAACATTAAGTGTTCGTGAAGGTCCCAGCCTTGCTTGATCCTGGCTTGTTGCAGGCCTGTTCTATATACTGTACCCCTCAGTCAGGTTCCTCCGTCTGCCATATCCCAGCTACAGAGAAAAGTGTGCTCAGGAAAAGAAAATCTTTAACATTCACATCTGTCATCTGTGAACAGTGTCTTGAGGTTGTGTTTACTGTGCCTTTGCAGGCAAAATGAATCCTTGAGTGTTTTCCCTTGACTAATTGTCATAGTGAATTTTGGTAAATATGATCTCTCCCTTGAGTCCTGGTATAATTCCATTTCATTCTTTCATAGAAATCCTAAGTAGCTGTTTTAATAGCAGATGAACAGTCTGATGAATTTTTTTTGTGTTTTTTTTTAAATTACAGGTGAAACTGGTTTAGCTGGTATTTTTATGTTTTTTGCTAAAGCTGCATATTTCTATTAGACAGAAACAAGAGAGAACTACCACAA